TTTTTACTTTTTTTGTGTGTCTTCTATTTCTTTTTTTAATGTTTTGTAATTCTCATTGTAGAGATCTTTGACATCTTTGTTAAATTTATTCCAAGGTATCTTATTTTCTTTTGTAGCGATTGTGAATAGGATTGACCTTAGAAGTTTATTCTCAGCCATGGCATAGTCTGTGTATACAGAGACTATTGATTTTTTTGTGTTAATTTTATACCCTTTCACTTACCAAACTCTTTTATGAGTTCCAATAGTCTCTTACTGGAGTCTTTTGGATCCCCTAAATATATAAAATCGTGTCATCTGCCAATATGGATAGTTTGACTTCCTCCAATTTGTATCCCTTTGATTTCTTTTTCTGGCCTAATGGCTCTGGCTAAAACTTCGAGGACAATATTGAATAGCAACGGTGAGAGTGGGCATCCTTGTCTTGTTCCGGACCTCAGTGGGAATGCTTCCAGCGTTTCTCCATTCAATAGGATGGTGGCCATTGAGTTTGTCACAAATTGCCTTGATCATATTGAGAAATGTTCCTTCTATATACAATTTGCTAAAATTTTTCATCATGAATGGGTATTGTATTTTATCAAATGCTTTCTCTGCATCTATTGAGATAATCCTATGGCTTTCGCCCTTCAATTTGTTAATGTGATGTAGACATTAATTGATTTGCAAATGCTGAACCATCTCTGCCTATCAGGGATAAATCTGGGTAAATTATATTTCTCATGTATTGGTGAATTCAATCAGCTAATATTTCTTTGAGGATTTTTGCATCTATGTTCTTTAGAGAAACTGGTCTGTTTTTCCCTTTCTCTGTTGTATCTTTTAGTGGTTTAGGAATAAAGGTGATGCCAGCATCATGGGAGTTTGGAAGGATTCCCACTCATTACTATTGTATTGGAGTCTGGGTCTCCCTTTAGATCTATTAACATTTCTTTTAAATAGCCAGGTGCCCTATAATTGGGTGCATAAATATTTATTACAGTCACATTCTTGTTGAACTGATCCCTTAATCATTGCATAGTGCCCTTGTCTATTTTAACAGTTTTTGTATTAAAGTCTATTTTGTCTGACATTAGAATGGCAGCACCAGCTCTTTTTTGGTTTCTGTTAGCATGGAATATCTTTTTTCCATCCTTTCACTTTCAGTCTGTGTGCATCTTTTGTTGGTGAGATGTGCTTCTTGTAGGCTGCAAATACATTGGTTTTGTTTTTTAATCCTGTCAGCCAGTCTGTATCTTTTTTTTAAATTTGTTTGACAGATAGAGTCAGAGAGAGAGAGAGAGAGAGAGAGGGAGAGAGAGAGAAAGATCTTCCTTCCATTGGTTCACTCCCCAAATGGCCACTACGGCCGGTGCGCTGTGCTGATCTGAAGGCAGTAGCCAGGTGCTTCCTCCTGGTCTCCAATACGGGTGCAGGGCCCAAGCACTTGGGCCATCCTCCACTGCTTCTCGGGCCACAGCAGAGAGCTGGACTGGAAGAGGAGCAACCGGGACTAGAACCCGGCACCCATATGGGATGCTGGTGCTACAGGCAGAGGATTAACCAAGTGAGTCACAGCACCAGCCCAGCCAGTCTATATCTTTTAACAGGGGAGATGAGGCCATTTACACTCTAGGTGACTAGTGATAAGCAGCTTCTTGGCCCTGCCATTTTTTCAAAAAAACTCCTATTGTTTACTTTGGATTCCCTTTGTACCTTTACTAGAAGATTTTCTGCCTTCACCTTCTTTCATAGTGATGACCATGCTTCTGTGTTTCTGTATATAGCACAGGCTTAAGCATCTTTTGTAAGGCTTTCATAAATGACAGCTTTGCAGGCTATAGTACTCTGAGTTGATAGTTTTTTCCCTTAAGATTTGGAATATTTCTTGCCATTCTCTCCTAGCCTGTATGGTTTCTGATGAGAAGTTAGCTGTGAGTCTAATTGGAAAGCCTCTGAAAATAATCTTGCATTGCTCTCATGCACATTTTAGAATCTTTTCTTTATATTTAACTGTGGAGAGTTTGACTCAAAAAGTGTCATGGTGAAGATCTTTTCTGGTCATGTCTATTAGTTCTATGTGCTTCTTGTACTTGAAACTCCTTTTCTTTCTCCAAATTAGGGAAGTTTTCTGCAATTATTTCACTAAAAGGCATTCTAATCCATTCTTTCTTTCTATACATTCAAGAACTTCTAAGACCTGCATGTTGGGTTGCTTGATAATATCCCATAAATCTCCAACACTGCTTTTAGTTTTCTAGTTTCTTCTTTTTTTTTGGTCTGACTGTAAAGTTTCCAGAGATTTGTCTTCTAACTCTGATGTTCTTTCTTTCTTCTAACTCACTGAGTGTGTTGTTAAGGCTTTCCACCACATTTTTTTATTTGTTCTATTGAATTCTTCATTTCCAATATTTCATTTTTATTTCTCTTTAAAATCTCAATTTCAAGGTAAAATTTTCATTCATGTCATGTATGGACTTCTTTAGTTTGTGAATTTGCTTCTGATTACTTCTAAGTAATCCTACAATCAATTTTTTGAATTCCATTTCTAGCATTTCTATTTTTTTAAGATTTACTTTATTTATTTGAAACTCAGAGTTACACAGAGAGAGGAGAGGCAGAGAGAGAGAGGTCTTCCATCCACTGGTTCACTCTCCAGATGGCCACAACGGCGGGAGCTGCACCGATCCGAAGCCAGGAGCCAGGAGCTTCTTCCGGATCTCCCACACGGGTGCAAGGGCCCATGGGCTTGGGCCATCTTCTACTGCTTTCCCAGGCCATAGCAGAGAGCTGGATAAAAAGTGGAACAGCCGGGACTAAAACCAGCGCCCATATGGGATGCTGGTGCTTCAGGCCAGGGCATTAACCCGCTGTGCCACAGCGCCGGCCCCACCATTTCTAGCATTTCTTTAATCTCTTCATCTTCACATTCTAGTACTGAAGTGTTGCTGTGTTCTTTTGGGAGCATCCTTGGTATGAGCATGGATTCTGCAGCAATGACTCTTACCAGGGAATCATGGGGCCCTAAGCATGTGGAGCCACCCACAGTGACTGCCCAAAGACCCAGCCACATCTTGCACCCTCCCACGCAGCCACAGTGTTTTCAGCCTCAGCAAAACCTCCCATAGTCATGAGCACCCAGCCCCCTGTCAGTTTTCCCAGTCAGATCCAGGTGTCTCCTCTTAGCTGGTTGCTGGGTACCCAGACACAAACTGGCACAACTTTTACATGTCTAAAATGGTGCCTTCCCTCTCTTGGCTAGAAGGTGCCAGTGCTGGGTGGTCAGTGAGAGATAAACATGTCTCCCTTTTTTTCCTCTAGGTTGGCAGGAACACTGTCCCTCACTGGGCTCCAAGCCAGGCTCCTGCTAGGCTCTTCCCACAGCTGTATCGCCAGTGGCTTAGGCTGCTGCAGTCTGATCTCACCTCACTCTCCAAAGCTGGTGCTGAGGCTCTCAGCTGCTAGAGTCCTGAGTTGTGCGTGTGCACACCCTCCACATAGGTCCACAGTGTCCTTCTAATTTGTGTGGAGTTTTCTCTGCCATTTTCTCCCTAACTCTTCTAGGGGTTGTACTCTTTCCACTTTTTTAAACTATCTTCCCCTAGACTAGAGCAGTAAGCTTCCTCCCTATTCTGCCATCTTGAAAACCTCTCTATTCCACTTTAAAATAGAGATCCAAAGTGAATTTCACCTATAGGAAGCTGTTTCTTGCATAAGAGACTTCCTTGCATCATAGCTTCCTTTCCTTTATACATCCCTTTCCCATATAACAAAGGCTCATTAATATTATTGACAGGTATTAAGATTTTCTCTCCCACAAGCTCCACTGCTGTCTGAGAAATATGTCTGTTGTGCTATCCCATTCCAACCCCCTGACATAATGCCCAGGGAAGGGCAGGTACTTAAGAAAGAAACAAATTAATATTAATGCATGCTGAAACAGTTTCCATAGATAGGCTTTGATTTTCTTAGTAGATACAAAAATAAATCTATTTGTTCTTTTTGATTAACTTTTCATTTTTCTTGAAGCTAAGAAAATTCTAGAATTCCACTTTGCATATGACCCAAAAACAATTGAGACAGAAAAACTGCCATATTAAGCCGATGATGGATATTTAACAAACAAGAAGGGGATGGGAGGTCTTCTCGTCCTCCTCCCACTGGGGAGAATTAACATGCAGAGGTCATGCAGCACAGCGACCCCCAGGGAAGAAACACTTGGCTGAGTGTAAAGAGGTCAGGAAAACCACTTTCTTAGAAATCAAAATGACAGATAACTAGAGTGGGAGAAGATTTTTTTTTTTTCTGTTTCTTCACCATGCTATCTCACAGAAGAAAAGCGTGTCAGAGAAGACTTTGAAATAAAAGGATTGCAGTTATATTGATGTCAAATTACTATGCTGAAGCTCAGAGAAATGACGGTGACAGGTTTTTGCAAGAAAGAATTTGATATCTGTTAAGAGTCAAGGTGATATGAACAATAGCAATTAGAAATTCTGGCTGCTTTTGTTGTTATTTTTAACAAAATGTCAAAAATATGCCAAAATTATGGATGATAGTACAATGAATCAACATGTACTCCTCATTCAGCTGAAATAATTGCAACTCAAGGTTCATTTATTTTCTTAAAGCAGATTTTGATAAAACAACATTAACTAAAGTCTGAGAAGTTATTTGTTTCTTTGTGGTACTTAGAGTTCTATGTTATAGAGAGCAAAGTGTGTTATAATTGTAGTAGCTTTTGCTGGAAACAACTGTCCTTTGCCTAATTTTGGTTTTGAAACACTGCCACTTAATGACCTATCTTCTGTGATTTTATAAACTTTGAGATGAAATTTCAGTTGCCTATTCTAACATGCATACTTTTGTCCTAAATATACTTTTGTTTTTCTGAGACTATATGTATGTTTTTGTTACTGGGATATACCGAAATAAATTAAACCCACTGGTTGCAGCTAAAATAATTTAGCTGTAATTAAAACCCACTATTGGCTGATTATAGATGATTACACAAAGCTTACCAATATTGGCATAATGTTTCTTTTCTTGTGTATTTGTAGACATCTCATACATATCTCCATAACCACGAGCAAATCGCCACATAAACTCTACTTCATCCTTAAACTGAAAAGATATAATTGCACATGCGTTAATTGGGTAACTTGTCCAGACCATAACCACTGCCCACTGCAATATATTAAAACTTAGGGAGATACACTGACATTTATGGATGATTGAATATATGCCTACGCATATTTATGTATATAACATTTCAAATACAAATATCCACCCTAAGAAATGTGTCCTAGGAGCTGGCCTTGTGTGACAGTGGGTGAAGTTGCCACTTGCAATGAAGTGCTAGTTTAAATCCTGGCTGCTCCAGTTTTGATCCAGATTCATGCTAATGCACATGGGAAGGCAGTAAAAGTTGGCTCAAATACTGGGACTCTTGCAACTCATGTGGGAGGCCAGAACAGCATTATTGGCTCTTGGCTTTGGCCTGGCCCAGCCCTGGCTGTTGTAGCCTTTTGGGGAGTGAACCAGTAGAAGCAAGAGTCCTCCGCTCTTTGTCTCTTCCCCTCTGTTGCCTTGCCTTACAAATAACTAAATTTTTAAAAAGAAAGCTAGATCTTAAAATGAATCAATATGAGGGTATTTCAACAAGTTTGTGGAAAAACAGAATTAAGAGAGAAGTATGTTGGTACAAAAATCAAGTTTTTTCATGATTTACATTTCTACCAACTTTTTGAAGACCCTCATAAGCATGACCCCTCATAAGGTTATATTAATATGTCGTAACGTATTTCTTACCTTTTCTTTGTGGTCACAAAGTAGTTCAAAACTCTCCTGCTTGTCAGACTCATTCATACGTAAATGATCTACCTTCTGAAGAAGGACATCTAAACTTAATTCCTCTACATGTGTGTTAAGTGCCTTAGAGACAGGAAAACTTGGTTCTTCTGTGTCAGTGTTAGCTGTAATATACCTAAAATTGCAGAAATAATCATTAACCTCTCCGATAAAATTATGTATAGTAGCCAGAGTGATTCTCGCAAAATGCAAGCCAAATGACGCCATTCTTATACCTGGAACTCTGTAATGGCATCCTCTCTAACTCAGAGACGAGCTCACGTCCTACAAACAGTCCATAAGACCCTATGCAATTTGTCTCCCAACCCCAATACCTCTCTGACTGCATTCCTACAACCTTTGTCACTCACTCAGCTCTACATAGGTGTTCTAGCTATTCCTTAAGACCTGCCAATCATGCTCCCATTGCAGAACTTTTGCCTACTGTTCCCTGTGAAGCAGTGCTCTTTCCTTACCTCCTTCAAGTCTCTGCTGCACATCCTTTGCTCAATGTGGCCCTAAAGACCACTCTTTAGTACTGCAAACCCCCAGCTCCTTTCTTCTCCAACCTCTGTTATCATGCTTAACTTTTTCCAGTAGCACATTTTATCTTGTAACATACAATATTAATTTACTAATTATTATATGTGCTGTATTTTGTCAGCACCTGCCCCAGTAGAATCCACAGTCCCTGACAGTAGTGCTCATTATCTGATGTATCAAGTGCTCAGAATAGCACCTGGTATGTAGTGAATATTCATCAAACATTGTCGAATGGATGATACAAAATTGTAGGAACTTAACAGGTACCCAACATGTATAGATAAATATTTACCTATAGTTCAAGATGATATTCTAATTTTTAATTTTAACTTAGGTTTTAAAAGTTATACAACCCTCCCCCTCCCACCCTGCCAAAACACACACATTTCCTTTTTGGTGGCATGTAATGCAATCAATTTATATTTATTTATTCAAACCCTGATGTTCTCAAAAGATTTTTAAGGTGATATATAAAGACACATACATAAAGGAGAAAAATTTAGAGGCATAAGAGAAAGATAAAAGCATGGACAGATGTGCATGAGGCTAATTAAAGAATCACATATTTTAGATATCTACACAGTTCCTACAAAGAACACAAATGGAGTTGTTTTTCTATCAGCCAAGCAATCAGACACATGACTTGTAATTTTCATTAGAAACAAAGATACAAACAAAGAATTTCTTTAGAGGACTGCAACTATTTCCAGACACTGAAACTTTCAAAGGCTTTGATAAGAAGGAATCTATTAATTTTTACCTAACTTCTTCAACAACACTCTAGTAATGGCTCTCTGTTCTTCCAGTTGCTCAAACCAAAAGAACTTGGAGTCATACTAGTCAATCTCTCTGCTTCTCAAACATTTAAAAAAAAAAAAAAAGATTCCAGAAATAAGCTCTTACATTTGTGGTTAGTTATATTGATAAGAGAGTCCCAAGACAAAAGTGGAGAAAACAATACTCTTCAACAAATAGCGCTAGGACAAATGGATATCCACATGCAAAAGAGTGAAGGGGAACTCTTACCTGACATCAGATAAAAAATGAACTCAAAATGTATTAAAAACCTAATTATAAGAACTAAAACTTCTATAAAACTTGTAGAAGAAAACATAGGAGGCCAGCGCCACGGCTCACTGGGCTAATCCTCCGCCTTGCGGCACCCGCACACCAGGTTCTAGTCCCGGTCAGGGCACCAGATTCTGTCCTGGTTGACCCTCTTCCAGGCCAGATCTCTGCTGTGGCCAGGGAATGCAGTGGAGGATGGCCCAAGTGCTTGGGCCCTGCACCCCATGGGAGACCAGGAGAAGTACCTGGCTCCTGCCATCGGATCAGCGCAGTGCGCCGGCCGCAGCGTGTCGGCCGCGGCGGCCATTGGAGGGTGAACCAATGGCAAAGGAAGACCTTTCTCTCTGTGTGTCTCTCTCTCTCACTGTTCACTCTGCCTGTCAAAAAAAAAAAAAAAAAAAACCACACACACATAGGAGTGAATATTTTGGATTAGAAAATGGTTTCTTAGATTTGATCTAAGAATAAGTGACAAAAGAAAAATCCACATTATAAGCATAAGTGATAGAAGAAAAAAAATCCACAAATCGAAAAACTAAAATTTGAGAATCTAGAAGAATTTACAGATAAGTGGTTAAAGTTATTATCAATTCTTAAAAATCAATTATGTTCTTTTTGTGTGTGTATTCTTACACTCTATAAAATAAGCTAGAAAATAATTTTATAAATTATTACATTTATAAAAGCAAGAAATATATAAAGTACCAAAAGGAAAATTTCACAAAAGTTTTTTCTGACCTTCTGGAGGAAATTATAAAATATCATCTGAGGACATTAAAGAGCATCTAAGTAATGGGGCAAAGTATCCATGTGCAGGAATAATAATATCAGAACAACCTCAGGAGGAGGCATTTGGTCTAAAGGTTAAGATGCTGCTTGGATGCCCATATCCACATTGGAACACCTGAGTTTGGGTCCCAGCTCCAATCCTGACTCTAGCTTCTTGCTAAATGTGCCCTCCTGGGAGGCAGCAAGTGATAGGTCAAGTAGTTGAATCCTTGTCACCTACTTGGGAGACCTAGGTTGAGTTCATTACTCCTGGCTTCAGCCTGGCTAAGCTCTGAGCTGTTGTAGGCATTTGGGGAATGATGCAATAGATAGGAGTTTCTTTCTCTCTCTCCCCTGCCCTCCTACCCCTCCTCCCTCCCCGATGTATATGTCTATAACTTCTTTTCAAGTAAATAAATAAATAAGTAAATCTTTATAAAAATTGCATATAGCCCCAAAGTAATCTAAATTTTTAATGTCATTCTAGGCAAAACTGCAATGGAATTTTTGTATGAATTTGCTACACTCTAAAATTAATATGGAAGGCTAAGTACATGGAGACTTACTACAATTCTGAAGAACACACACCATGGCTAGAGCATAAGTGGCCAATAAAACAAAAGAGAACGTGTAGGCTAGTTTCTTCCCACACATTAAGAACAGTCAAATGTGGGAAAATGACTTTCCTACTTTAGATAGGATTTTAGATTTATAACTGGGCATTTCTCAGAAAATTTGAAAGCCAACTTAAAAAACATGGCAGAGAATACTGAGCTGGTCAAACAGAAGAAGCCAGAGTTGGCCTTCTTCTCACAGGAAAGACTTGAAATAACAAGTAAACAACTGCATTTTGAGATGAGTGTTTGGGTGAGCATTATGGTTCACGGGGTTAAGACACCAGCTGGCACGCCCAGATCCTATGTTGGGTTACTGGTTTGAGTCCCTGCTATTTTGTGCTTCAAAGCCAGCTTCCTGCTAATGTGCCTTGGAGGTAGCATGTGATGGCCCAAGTAATTGGCCCCTGTCACCCATATGGGAGACTTGGATGGAGTTGCTGGCTCCTGGTTTTGGTCCAGCACTGCCCCAGCTGTTCAGGGCATTTGGAAAGTAAACCAGTAGATGGAAGATCTCTTCTCTGTCTCTGTCACTCTGCCTTTCCAATAAACAAATAAATCTTTAAAAAGATAATGAAATATAAATGGTAATTACTTGACTTAATCACTTTGCACTGTTTACATGTGTTAAAATATTACATCCTATTCCATAAAAATGTACAAGTATTACATATTCATTAAAAGAACTACAGTAAGCACCCAATAAATAAAACTAAGGCATATCCAAATATGAGTGACAAAACTTAACTATATCTATTAATTTTGGGTTAAAGATTATTTTTGTATCTATCTTCCCCATGCGAAAGGCATTTCATAGATTTTGTGATATCAAATCAAGTTTTCCCAACAGAAATTTTAGAAGGTCTAAAGAAGCTCACCTTAAAATTCAAATTCACTTATAAACATTTATCCCTCATGCACTTTACTGGCCATATTTTCTGCTACCAATTTTAATAAAAACTTTGCCATTTATCTGTCTCTTCAATTCTGCATGATCAACTACTAGCTTCAATAAGTAGCAATAGCATCTCTGAAAGGCACAGTGGCTCTTAAGGAGAGCAAGACATTATTTAGTGTGAAAATAAAGTAGCTTAGCTACAGAAATATATCAGTGGTGAGTTAACTTAGTTACATTAGAATAGGCCCGCATTTTCTCGTAGAAGCACCAAGTGGACAATGGTAGCCTGGAAATGCTTTGTGGGAGCTCTAGAAACTAGTCAGCAAGCAAATGCCAATTAGGAAAAAGCCACAGTCAAAATGGTGGGAAAAGTTACGGTGCTTTTGATCACCCATGCCACAAGCCTTCCCTGTTGTGGCTAGGGTGAGAGGAAGTTTCTGTTTCCTGTTTCAGGTCAAAATTAAATGAGCAGAATTTATATGCCATGTTCTGGTCTGCACAGAGGCATACTGCTTTCTGTCTCTCTCGATTCAGAGCTCATACAGAAATGAACACATAGTTTGGATATTAGGTTGGAAGCCGTGATGCGCACTGTAGTGCATGAGAGCTACAGAGGCACAACAGATCCATGAGCAACCAGAGGCCAACAATTACAGGAAATGGAACAGAATAGAATATCTAAGGATCCAAGGAGAGGCAGAGGTGAGACAATTAGGGCAATTAAGAGATTTAAAAGCAGGAACAGAAATAGGGGAATTAGGGAAAATCCACATTCACACAAACACATAGGCAAAATTCATGCTCAGAAAGGACTTAAGACCTTACACTTCACATCGTTCCAATAAGTGAGGGCCCTCTTCTGCATAGAGCCATTCTACAAAGATTAGAAGAGGTGGCTATTGTTTAGAATATGCGATTTTCAACAAAAATAAAATACATACAAACAATCTGGGAGAGATTCCCCCACTGAAAGAAACAATTTCCATAATTAACCCAAAAGAAACATAGGTCTTGGACTTGATAGATAACAATTTTTTGAAAAGTCTTAAATATCCCAAAGAGGTAAAGGAAAACAGAATATTTTTAAAATCAGGAGCAGAATATATGAACAAAATGAAAATGTCAAAAAAATACAAATTATTAAAAAGCCATAAATTGTGGAGCTGAAAATTCTAACAATTTAAAAATTCACCGCAGTGAGCAACAGAATAATCAAACAGGAAGAAAAAAACAGGAAAATATGAA